TTAAACAGAAATTTACTACAACACTACAGGGACAACTTGGCCAAAATCTATCTCTATGTATGTATGTATGTATGTATGTATGTATGTATGTATGTATGTATGTAGACAAACTCCATATAACATTACCATATATTATTTTGTAACTTACTAGCTATTGTTAATAAATCCTCATACATTTTATTACAACATTTCACTGTATATCTTTCGTTGTAGGCGTTGCTGGAGGTCTGTCTGTCTGTCTGTCTGCCTGTCTGCTTGTCTTCCCGCTTGCCTGCCTGCCTGCCTGTCTGTCTGTCTGCTTCCCCACTTGTGAATAGTTACCTACTTACTGTGGTCGTAATGGATAGATGCTTGATTTTGGAGACCTGCCTGGAATGTGGATAGTTGCCTGTGTGTGGATAGTTGCCTGCGTGTGGATAGTTGCCTGCGTGTGGATAGTTGCCTGCGTGTGGATAGTTGCCTGCGTGTGGATAGTTGCCTGCGTGTGGATAGCAACCTGCGTGTGAAAAGAACATATCCACGTGGACTGAGACAAATGCACTCTGGATCTCCCATAGCCTCTGCAAGTGGATGGCAGACGGGTGGCAGGTGGGTGGGAGACTGGTGGCATGTAGACGGCAGACGGGTGGCAGATGGGTAATAGATTGCGGCAGTTGGGTGGCAGATGTGTGGCAGACATGTGGCAGACGGGTAACAGGTGGGTGGCAGACGGGTAACAGGTGGGTGGCAGACAGGTGGCAGGTGGGTGAGTATGTCTGTCATGACTAGCGGAGACATTTGCTGCTCCGTCGCACTGACTCACGACATATGAGTCGAATGCCCGAGTCACCTGGTCATAACAAGGTACACATAATGAGTCACCTGGTCTAAGATACACCTGGTCACACACATAATGACTCTCGTGGTCATAGGAAGATATTTATTATTAATACATTTATTCCTATTGTCTTAATTACTAGTTATAAGTCATATCAAACTTAGTGAGAGTAACATCAATATTACGAAGTTTAACACAACTGACGTATCCACTGAATCCTCATATACGCTACACACTATGTGATGACCCACAGTTGTGAAGAGACGTCCTCAGATGTTGGTTTGTCTGAATGAGTCTCACAGGTAAACAAAGTGCGGGGGGTAGGAGAGATTTTATTGGTCCATCAGTTAGAAATGGACTAGCGGGAGAGATCTTATTGGTCCATCAGTTAGAAATGGACTAGCAAGAGAGATTTTATTGGTCCATCAGATAGAAATGCGCGCGCAGGAGAAGTGGGCGGGGCCGTCGATAGATTAGTTTTTTACAGGTTGTCTACGTAACCAGATACCGCCTTGGGCAAGAGGTTATCATTAGGTAGTCTCACACGGCTATCTTGTAACACTATATCACGATGTGCTTCAGACGGCAACACCGCAGAGCTTCAGCAATACATAATGAAGATAGGTTAAGTGAGAATGACTCTATCAGTGACGTCTTATATACAGTAAACTCTATGGTACATGGAAATGGATAAGAAGGTGAGGTACTTAAGAAATTTAGCACCATTACGCTGTTGACTGGCCAGAGATAGTTGTCCTAATATTTCTAACAGGTCTTATTTCTAGTACTAATGGGCCCCAAACTTAATGACCAAAGTTGTTTTACCTTAGGGCCCATTAGGACTAGGGCCCATTAGAACTAGCGCTTATTACGACTGGAGCCCATATGACTTGCGAGCTGTTACTCTTGTCTGGGTTATCACTTGCTGCTGCTAAGGAACTACACCTCACACTATTAAGATGCCAATCATTACCCTCCACCAGACGGAGAATGGCAACAAGCAGACGACAGACTAACGTACATACACACCTTTATCACTCATCAGTCTGGGAGTAAAATAGATAAGTAGATAGATAGATAGATGGATAGATAGATAAAGACATACATACATACATACATACATACATACATACATACATACATACATACAGACAGACAAAAAGGTAGACAGGTAAAAATATAAAATAACCATATATGTATAATTATGAGTATATATGTATTCGTTTTTGTGTGTATGTCTGTAATTAAACTTTTCAAGCAACTCAATACACTAAAAAATATATATATATACAACATATCCTAATATAATTCCACATTCAACATTAATTCAACATCCATTCAAAAAAATCACAAACTAAAAAAAAAAAAAGAAATCCTTCGTTAGATAAATTAATTGATTTATTTTATTTTGTTTCATTTATTTTATTTATTTATTTATATTTGTTGTTATCCCACAGGGTCCAGCCACCCGACTAAGACACTCTGAGGTAACATGAGCCATCGGGACCAGTAGACTCCATTACTCTGGTTAAGGGGCCGAGGTTTAACATTAACGTGGTCTCAGTACTAATAAGAGTGGGTCCTAATGGTACCTTACCTGGAGGAGGATTAGGTTAGACGCAGGTAATGGTGTTGTTGACCTGGGATGTTTGTGGTCCTACACACACTCTATCTATCTATCTATATATCTATCTATCTATCTATCTATCTATCTATCTATATATCTATCTATCTATATATCTATCTATAATTTCTCGTCTCTTCCTACTATTTTTGTTACTCATTCTTTTCATAATCACTCATTCATTCATGTATGTGTGTGTGTGTGTGTGTCTTGTGTGTGTGTGTGTGTGTGTGTGTGTGTGTGTGTGTGTGTGTGTGTGTGTGAGTCACAGGATCTTTACTTATTCACTAGTGGTTAAAGCATCCGTGTGACAAAACCACACGGAAAAGGAAACAACGGAGAACCTAATTATAAAACAATTATGCAAATAATCTTAAAGTACCACACTAATGTATATGTTATGTAATTTATATATCTCCTTTAGTCATCAATTTATATAATATCTATAAATGACCTGAAGAAGTTTTTGAAATAAATTCTCTTAGTGTAAACTGATTAATGGCTTTTGTTGGTCAGCGATGCTCATTTGTTCGTCTCTAAAAACTCTTGATCGCATTCACAAGGTATTTATAAAGGTATCCCGCCACCTAAATCCGGTCACTCATCCATCCGGTCATTCATTAATAACTCGGTCACTCCTTAACACGGTCACTCATCTACTCAGTCACTCATTAACTCGGTCACTCATTAAATCGGTCATTCGTTAACTCAGACACTCATCAACCCGAATACTCATCAACACGGTCACTCACTCTCCCCCGGTCACTCATCTCTGCCAAAAAGTAAGGTTATGGAAATAGTGTCGGCGCTTCAAGAGAGGTTCATCACTCTCTGGCGACATTCGATAATCTTTGGCCAAGTTGGTTAATTGGGACAGTGTTTTTTCTCTTACTTGTGGGGTTTATTGTTATTACCATATTGTTTTAGAACCTGTGTGTGTGTGTGTGTGTGTGTGTGTCTGTGTCTGCCTCTGTATGTGTGTGGGTGTTTTTTGTGTGTGTGTGTGTCTGCCTCTATGTGTGGGTGTGTGTGTGTGCCTCTATGTGTGTGGAGTGTTTTTTTTTTTTGTGTGTGTGTGTGGGTGTTTTTTTTGTGTGTGTGTGTGTGTCTGCCTCTATGTGTGTAGGTGTTTTACGTGTGTGTGTGTGTGTGTGTGTGTGTGTCTGCCTCTATATTGTGTGGGTGTTTTTTGTGTGTGTGTGTGTGGGTGTTTATTTTTGTGTGTGTGTGTGTGTCTGCCTCTATGTGTGTGGGTGTTTTTTGTGTGTGTGTGTCTGTACTCTGTGTGTGTGGGTGTTTTTGTGTGTGTGTGTGTGTGTGCCTCTGTGCATGTGTGTGTGTGTGTGTGCCTCTATGTGTGTGGGTGTTTGTTTTTGTGTGGGTGTTTGTTTGTGTGTGTGTGTGTGTGTGTGTGTGTGTGTGTGTGTGTGGGTGTTTATCCTCCGGTTTCATTTCTTCGTTCAGTCATTCCTCCAGGTTCAGTGTTTTGTTCAAGCGCTTCAGGTTCATTGGTTCGTTCATTCTCTGCTGAAAACATTTAATCATTCAACCAAAATAACAACACAAAACAACTGCGATTCGAAGCTTCAGTTAAACGGTCTCGTGGCCACTTATCAATACACTTAAGATATATCAACTTAGAATTTCCATTATTAATTTGATTTTTTTTATAGTTTTTATTAACTTTGAGACACACAGGATAAATATAAATATGTGTATGTTCTGCTTAATTGAGAACTTGTCAAATCACATCAAGTTTGGTTTCTAATAGTCAGAATTATTTTCTTTACACTGGGACATCTGAGACACAAAGAGGAAACAAGAACGTGAATCATCTACACGTTCTAATTACCTTGTTATTTAATCGTTTTTTTTTATTAATTATATACACTTAATATTATAAATAAATAAATATCCGATCAAGACTCCGATTAATTGTAACATTAATTAATCAACATTCTACATAAGTCGAATGTTGATGACCAGACTTGTGGTTTCTATATATATATACAAGGAATTTTGGGTTAGGTTAGGTTAGGTTAGGTTAGGTTAGGTTAGGTTAGGTTAGGTTAGGTTAAGTTAGGTTAGGTTAGGTAAAGTTAAGTTAAGTTAGGTTAGGTTAAGTTTCATTGAGAATATAAAGTACAAAGTTACTACACAGGGATGATATCTTTAATTAATACTTTATAATTATCATCAGCAACACTTAATCATCACACACTTACTACAATAATCAGAAGCTCAGGTGATAATGACCCGTCCATTCACCTTCACCCACTACTGGCCTCCTCAGCAACCATTACAGTTTGTTTGGGATGACTGGTCTACTTCTCTTCACTAAACCTTGACGCCACAGCAATAAATTCACAGCCATATTTTCCTTTCTGTGGCAAATGTCGTAAATTCCCTCAAAATTTACATTATTTTGTGGGATTTTTGCTAGAAACAATAATTTTCATAAAAATAAATTCGAGTAAAGTTTTCAAATTTATATAAATCGAAACTAAAACTGAGTAAAAAAATTTCTGTGTGCGTTATGTACACCACTGCCTGTGTATACTAGGTGGATCACTGTCTCTATTTTGTCTGCTATGTCCACTCCAGGGAATTATAAACATTCTTAAATGAACTTTGTGTAATTTTATCAAGGACAGACTAAATTTGGGCAGTGTTCAGTGGTCCACTCCTAATGAGACCAGATATAGTTCAATGATAGTTCATTTTGTAATCATCACAATGCAGCAATAATAAGAGTGTCATAGAATATCTCTAACAAGTTTCTCCTCTGCCGTAAGAAAAATATCAACCTTTTTACAAGATATTTTCGTCTGAGCCTAAACCTGAATAGAGATAAAAAAAATTTAAATTAATGCATAATTAAACAAAATATAATCTGCAAAGAATAAAAAAAAGTTGCAAACTGACTATGGCGGCGCGAATCACCTGACAACCATCATTTAATCTACCTTTATAAAGTCTACCCTTTGCTGAGGACGCTAGGAAGGAGTCGACAGGTCACTGCACATGAAAGCATAAAAATATCAACGATGATAACAACTGCACTTACAACTTCCATATTGTTACATCACCTGTCGGGATGTTACTGGTGGCCATGGAGGCCAGTGTACATCACTGATGGCCGCGAGGGCCAGCAACACAGTGTACATCACTGATGACCATGAGTGCCAGTGCAACATTGTACACCACTTTAGTACAATACAAAACTAATGCTAAGAGATAAAGTTAACTTGTGGTCGTCGCGTTACCACAAGTTGTGAGAAACACTCGATGAAGCTGATGATAAGTTGACATTAAGTGACGTGAAGAACATTACAAGATGAACAACCGTAAGTCTCCTAAGATGTGTGGCACGTAATAGTGTTATTATTTACAATATTATGACAGGTCAGATGCTGTGATGTTCCTCAGTAGTGCGTTAATTAACCTCACAACAACACACAGGCACTTCACTCATTATGAAGATGAATTATTATATTACTGTAGTTTAGACTTGAGGGATGTCTGTGTTGACGGTTCCTCACAGAGTCTGACCTGCCAGCTACCCTCAGTAATGGTTCGTCCTCACACTAAATAATCTTAGAAACTCCTTTTTAGAAATACAAGAAGTAAATGGTTACAACTGGAGCGCTAACTAAGTTTATCTTCTAGGTATGACGCTGTCTACTGTTACTCCAGCGAGGGTGGGAGGTAGAGGGTGAGGTGGAGCTGAAGAGTCACCGGGGGATGTTGGCCACCACCCCCACCACCACCTGCACCGCCACCGACAGCGTCACCAGCAGGAAGTGACTGCCACTGAGAGCCCCGCCTGTGTGAGGAGAAATACACCTGTTTAATGTTGACAATCAGACCATCCCACATGACAGGTGTTCAGTCTTAACAGGTGCGTGGAATGTTGTACAGGACACACACACACACACACACACACACACACACACACACACTTTACACATCATCTCAACACACCTAACACACATGATATTTCTAAAATTCTCTCCGTCTTGTATACCCATACTTTTAATTGCGACACCAGCTCTATACGTGTCTGCTACCCTGACTCTCACTGATGGACGACTGAACCTGTTTAGTCTTCGTTTTCATTCTGTTTACCTCTCTCTCTCTCTCTCTCTCTCTCTCTCTCTCTCTCTCCATCACACATACACCCTGACCCTCCCTCACCTTCATTCTCTCCCTTCCCTCACCCCCTCACCTGAGAAAGCAGAGATGTCCCGCGACTCCATGACGGGCACGTTGTAAGTCAGCTGCTCATCAATACTGTGTTGGTGACTCTTAATGTAAAGGAAGTCGACCTCAGCTGTACACTTAAGGGTCATAGCACCGTCCCGGAAATGCTCGCCGGTGACCACGAAGGAAAGGCCCTGGTGTGCCTCCTGTAGTCGCTGCTCGTGTTCTGTGTTGTTCATGACTACTACGTACTGCCGGGGAGCCTGAGGAAGGGAGGCAGGGAGAGAGAGAGAGAGGGAGGGGTAGTGTGTTACTGGCCGAGTTTATGAGATTATACATATACAGTATACTTTACATACATATATTTTAAACATACATGCATTATAAAAGTTATTGTTATTATTATTATTACTATTATTATTATTATTATTATTATTATTAATGAATATTGTTTCCTGTACATCTTTACCGTGTTTGTTTCTATTATCGCTAAGTTGTGTGTGTGTGTGTGTGTGTGTGTGTGTGTGTGTGTGTGTGTGTGTGTGTGTGTGTGTGTGTGTGTGTGTGTCCTCCCTACATGGATACAAGGCAGCCGAGTATTGTCTTAAAACTCACCAACTACCATTCATCCAGGTAACTTAGTCAAACAGGCCCAATCCCAACAGGCCCCAATTCATATAGGCCCCCCAACAGGCCCCAATTCATAGGCCCCAATCCCAACAGGGCCTAATTCATATAGGCCCCAATCCTAACAGGCCCCAATTCATATAGGCCCCAATCCTAACAGGACCCAATTCATAGGCCCCAATCCCAACAGGCCCCAATTCATAGGCCCAATCCTAACAGGCCCCAATTCATATAGGCCCCAATCCTAACAGGCCCCACCATATTCACAATCCCTAACAGGCCCCAATTCATATAGGCCCCAATCCTAACAGGCCCCAATTCATATAGGCCCCAATCCTAACAGGCCCCAATTCATATAGGCCCCAATCCTAACAGGCCCCAATTCATATAGGCCCCAATCCTAACAGGCCCCAATCCTAACAGGCCCTAACAATTCCAATTCATATAGGCCCCTATCCTTATGATCTATAAACACACGAACGAAAATACAACTGCATCATATCCTTCAGTGAAACGGTAATAAATCACTAAATGGCAACAGATGTTTGTTTACCCACCCACACACACACACACACACACACACACAGACACAGACACACACACACACACACACACACACACACACACACACATACATCTTCACTTTATTAATAATAGGATCCGGAGGCGGCAACAATGTGATTATTCCTGAAGGTGTAAAATTCATTTAAGAATTTGCCTACGACTGTCAGGGACTGTCTACGTTTAGAGTTGACTGGTTAATTGGGTCTGAGTATTAAGTGGACCCCAGTCTTAATAGGTCCCAGTCTCAGTAAGTTAGGTTAGGTTAGGTTATTGTAAGTTAGGTTAGGTTATTTCAAGTAAGGTTAGGTTATTTTAAGTTAGGTTAGGTTAAGTTAGGTTAGGTTAGGTTAAGTTAAGTTAGGTTAGGTTAGGACGGGGGTCGGTAGTCCAGTCACTCCCTCTACATCCTACATAATCACTCGATCGTCGCTGGCATAATCAGGTTGTCGTCATTTCCATAATATTGTGTGGCACAGTTAACCGCATCTCTCTCTCTCTCTGTCTGTCTGTCTGTCTGTCTGTCTGTCTGTATGCGTCTATATCTGTGTCAGTCTATTACTGTCTGTATCTTCTTATCTGTGTGTGTGTGTGTGTGTAGTCGAGCATCATCAGGGTGGGAGACAATCACCATAACTCGAGTGAGATTAAGTTTCTCTGGTTACCTACACTATCTCACGCTGACCTAGAGAGAGAGAGAGAGAGAGAGAGAGAGAGAGAGAGAGAGAGAGAGAGAGAAATTTGGATGAAAGCATATAGATAGAGAGATGGAAAGGGAAAGGGAATGAATGAATAGATTAAGGGAGGAAAGCAGAGAAGAACGGAAAACTAAAGTTAATAGAGAAAGGACGAAGTAAAAACAGACAGACAGACAGACAAAAAGAGAGAGAAGAAATAGAGAGAGACAGCCAGCGAGAGACAAACAAACAGACAGACAGACAGACAGAACACGGTCAATCTTCGCAACTACGTCACTCTATATAATAAGACACACGTTCACAGTGTTTTCTTAATTGTACCACAGTGTAAAGTGTCGCGATAGTGCCAAAACAGCGACACTTCCCCCCTGGTAAGTACACACACTAACACTTTATGGTGGGTGCTCTCAGTTGTTCTCAGTAAGTACTACTTGCCCTCACTAAAACAAATAGGCCCCAGTTCTAATAGGCCCCATGCTAATAGGCCCCAGTTCTAATAGGCCCCATGCTAATAGGCCCCAGTTCTAATAGGCCCCATGCTAATAGGCCCCAGTTCTAATAGGCCCCATGCTAATACAGTCTTATTTGATAGTTGGATTAGGGACCTAAGCTAACCTGGCCTGAGCTAAACTTTAAGAGGAAGAATAAAATGTATCAGTTTAGTCTTTAGATAATTTCATTAAACAAATTCACAACTGACATCAACGAGAAAGTGACTCATTACCAACATCATCAATTTTCTGTCAAAATCAACAGTTCTTTAGTAAACTAATAATCGTTTTCAAATTATATTTTTGGGGGTAAAAGTTTCTGAACTGGCGATTACATTTCGGCCACTTCTCATCCAAAACGCCAGTCGTATGCAAATTAATATCCCGGTTATAACGTTAATTTTTGTCTAGAATATGTAACTCAGGGTAATTTTTTTCTCTTTAGTGTTTGAAATGGTTTTGAGATTAAATTTTCCCAGGGGGTAACTGGTCCGTGTGAATGTTATTGCGTGTAAACACAACTTTGGGTAAAGGGTTACTTGTTCGTGTGAATATTAAGAAATATAAATACAAGGGTGAATGTGGGGTAACTGGTCCGTGTGAATATTGCAACATATGAAGGCGGGGTTAGGTAAGGCGTAACGGGTTCGTGTGAATATTACAAAATGTAAACACAAGTTTGGGTAAAGGGTAACTGGTTCGTATGAATATTACAAACCATAAATACTAGATAGGATTAGGGAGTAATTATTCGTGTGAATATTACATGAGGTAAATAGTGTTCAAAAGGGTTCTCTCGTCCGTGTGAATCTTAGATGTAAACACACAGTTAGACTCTTGCTTCCGTGTTTTCTGTGCAACACGTCATCCTGATGAATACTATCTAACTCTCTCTATCTCTTATTTTATTATTTTTATGTTAGTTTTTATTCTATATTATATATCAATAAAGTTCCTTTAAAGTGTGATATGTAAGGAAGTTGCGTTCTAACCAAATCTAATTTAACCTAACTTAAGTAGCCTAACCAAATCGAACTCAATCTTACCTAACTAAAATAACCTAACCTTAATGACATAACTTATTAAATTCCATTATCAAATTACATCTCTCTCACCATTTTTATCACCTTATTGACGAATCTACAGTAGTCTCTTTGGTGTGGTAGAGCGTGGCGAGCCTTGGCCGGCCCCCCTGAAGATTAGCCACCCTAGCATATTTCATCAGATTATTGAACACCCTAACGCTACCTGGGGGTTAGATTAGGTTAGGCTAGCTTAGGTTAAGTGAGTATAGCATTAGGTGTTGCTAACTTTAGAGCGAAATAAACTGGGGGACTGTTCTGGTGATTAACATGCAAGTTCAGAGAGAGAGAGAGAGAATTATGTATCGTAGTTTTTCAGATTCAAATATTTCTTTCATGAGTTTAGTTTTAGAGCTTCATATAATTATTCACGTAATAATGGAAGCAACCTCACTTAACGTAACACAAAAACACAACCTCACTTAACGTAACACAAAAACACAACCTCACTTAACGTAACAACACAAAAACACAACCTCACTTAACGTAACAACACAAAAACACAATCTCACTTAATGTAACAACACAAAAACACAACCTCACTTAACGTAGCAACACAAAAACACAACCTCACTTAACGTAGCAACACAAAAACACAACCTCACTTAACGTAGCAACACAAAAACACAACCTCACTTAACGTAACAACACAAAAACACAACCTCACTTAACGTAGCAACACAAAAACACAACCTCACTTAACGTAACAAGACAAAAACACAACCTCACTTAACGTAGCAACACAAAAACACAATCTCACTTAACGTAACACAAAAACACAACCTCACTTAACGTAGCAACACAAAAACACAATCTCACTTAACGTAACAACACAAAAACACAACCTCACTTAACGTAACAACACAAAAACACAACCTCACTTAACGTAGCAACACAAAAACACAACCTCACTTAACGTAACAACACAAAAACACAACCTCACTTAACGTAACAACACAAAAACACAACCTCACTTAACGTAGCAACACAAAAACACAACCTCACTTAACGTAACAACACAAAAACACAACCTCACTTAACGTAACAACACAAAAACACAACCTCACTTAACGTAACAACACAAAAACACAACCTCACTTAACGTAGCAACACAAAAACACAACCTTACTTTACACAACACAACACAACCTTACTTTACACAACCAACACAAAAACACAACCTTACTTTACGCATCTCGTGAAGAATTACCCAATTTCATATGACTTTTATCGAGAAATATAACTACCATGTGTTAAGCGATATACTATGTGTTAATGATAGGTGTTAGAACTTTGAAGTATTATACAGTAGTTGTGCAGATTATGACACACACACACACACACACACACACATACCTAACCTCATTTCCCTTTCCCATCCTTCTCCCCCTTCACTTTCCCCCCCCCTCCCCTGTACACATGACCCCAGACCACAATTATAGATCTCCGGCCTTATAGGGGGTTCATCTCCGGCCTGGCCAACACCCCTAATTCTTGCTTATAAAAGAGACACATTTCACAAACTCATTTTTTTTACTGTAAGATTTTTTTTTTTTTTGAGTGTTTGTAGATTCTTGTTTTTGTTTTGTTGTTTGGTGGTGGTGAGATTGGTTTGTTGGGCTTGACACAACATAGAACACAACACACAACACAACACAACACAACACACAACACAACACAACACACAACACACAACACAACACGTAGATCAACAGCTAAAGTGGTGTAAGTGTTAAGCCTCGCACCAGCTACAGTATAATCTTCTATAATACTCTAAGTCTTCTTTTATAATGCTTAACTTCACGTCCCAAGATATTACACTTCCTCCGAGTTATACCTTGAAGGAAGACCAACAAGGTGAGGCGAATTAGGATCACAAGGAGTTTATTATTATATTAAACATGAATACTTACTGTAGTTTAAGTTAAGGATATTTCTTTAAGTAAATACAAGTTACATATTATCCCTATAAAGTTTTAAGACAGGGCAGCGTGGATATAGTACACTGTATATTAATACTTCAATACACAGGGAGGTAATATGACCGGTACTGTACTCGATCACCTTTACTTCCTCAACTGTAAAGTCAGGTACACTATAGGGGTGTATCCCATGTATATACCTGTATATTGGTGACCCTTAGGACATGACGTGTCTGCCTGATAGGTTAGATTACGTTACGTTAGGTCGGGGGAAAGATAGGTCACATAATTTAAGGTTGGATTGGATCAAGTTAGGTTAAATTGGGTTAGGTTAGGTTTGGTTTGGTTATGGTGACGCCGAGATAAATAATATATTCATGAAGCAATTTTTCGTGGTATTTTCAAGAGGCGGCGGAGCTTACCACCATCATAACTGCCTCCAACCTCATCGCACTGCCCCCCCACACGCCCACATACTCTTAACTCCTTCTACTGTACACTATCAAAGGCAGTCCCCGAGAGCGTCTGTAATAATAATAATAACAGACAGATAGATAGATAGATAGATAGATAGATAGATAGATAGATAGATAGATAGATAGATAGATAGATAGATAGACAGAAAGACAGACAGACAGACAGACAGACAGACAGAGAGAGAGAGAGAGAGAGGTCACTTACCTTCTCGTTGTTGATGTACCAGGTGAGGTTGGCCGCTGGGAAGGACTTGGCGGAGGTACAGGTAAGGTGGACTTCATCACCTATATGGTACTTGTTCTTGATGCCTCGGATCTTCGGTTTCTCCTGCGGCACGTCTGTTACACACATACATACATGTGAGTAAACTACCTCTCTTGTTACGTTCATGTATATATACTCATACACACACACACATACATATATAGATACACACATGCATATTCTCTCTCTCTCTCTCTCTCTCTCTCTCTCTCTCTCTCTCTCTCTCTCTCTCTCTCAACACCTACCGACCACCGTCATTGTGTTACTCTTGTCCGCGGTGTAGAACTGAGGCCACTCTGCCGTGATCTCACACTTGTACTTCCCCGACGACCCAAACTGTACGTCGTTCAGCACAATCTTGGCCCCAGTCGATTTATTTTCCTGTAACGAGGTGATGAAGTGGTTATGTTAAGTCACGTGGTTATTGTTAAATCACACCTGAATACAGTCACGTTTCATAATTAATTTACCTGGTTACAGTGAGTTACATAAATTAGGATATGTAGTTAAAGTCAGGTACTGTACATAACTAAATCACATGGTTACAGTCAGGTACATAATTAAGCCACCTGGTTACAGTCAGGTACATAATTGTGCCACCTAGTTACAGTCAGGTACATAATTAAGCCACCTGGTTACAGTCAGGTACATAATTAAGCCACCCAGTTACAGTCAGGTACATAATTAAGCCTCCCAGTTACAGTCAGGTACATAATTAAGCCACCCAGTTACAGTCAGGTACATAATTAAACCTCCCAGTTACAGTCAGGTACATAATTAAGCCTCCCAGTTACAGTCAGGTACATAATCAATATATATCTCCAGTTTAACATTAACACCCGCTGTAATGTTTATCAAATACCTATAATACCTATAATATCTTTCTTAAATTATCTATCATCTTACAAATAGAATCAATTCTGAAAATAAAATAATATCAATAAATTAAACGAAATCTTAAAATTTTCTCAAATCTGTAAATTATATGAAATCTGGAAACTTAAAAAAAAATAATAAAATAGGAGTAAAACAAACTAAGTAAAAAAAATCTGTAAATGAAATGTGTGAATCAGTGAAGGAGAATGAACAGGGGATGAACAGGGGATGAACAGGGGATGAACAGGAGAATGAAGAGGGGATGAACAGGGAATGAACAGGGAATGAACACAGGCTATAGCAAAGATCAGGATAATTCACCTTGGCTGGGAATATTATCTTTTTTCTGACACACTTTCCACTAATTGCTAATGCGTGTTAACCATGAAATAAAAAAAGTGAAAATGGGTTTAATGAGCTGACAGGTAACAGGTTGGTGTGTTTGTTTTGCTTTGTTTGTCGTCAGTTTGTGAAGCTCAAGGTGGCTCATTTATACATACATACATACATACACGTTCGGTTAGGTTAGGTTAAGTTTAGTTAGGATAGGTTAGGTTATGTTAGGTTACTTTGGGTTTGATTAGGATAAGTTAGTTTAGGTTAGGTTAACTTAGGTCAGGTTCCTGCCTTTCACCACCAGAACAAACATACTATGATAAAATACGTAACAACAAAACATTAACATTACAACATCTTCATTAAGAAACATCGTAAGTGAGGACTGATATCATCTTAGTTTTATTATATATATATATATTTTTTAAGATAAGCTCTAACACTCAACTTTTATTGCGTGGACGATAAGCTAAAAACAAAAGAACAGAGACGCTAATAATGGCGGGAAAATCTAACGCTTAACACATGGACAACAATAACACATAATGACTCCCTTCAGAGAAATTTCTCATCAAAAGATAAGTCATTTTCATATGTAAGTTGTTTGTCTCGTGTTTGTGTTGTTTCTGATGAAGAGAAGCAAACAATATTATCTTTGTTTACTGTCAGCTGGCTTTTAAGATTCTTTAGATATACGTAAATGAATTGTGGTGTCGTTATTGGAGCTTGTCGAAGGGGAGGAAGCATAGGTGTCGTTTGTTGTTATTATTGCTGTTTTAGTTTAATTTATTGTTGTACTTTTATTCCCCAGGTATTGTCTATAGCGTATGCCATGGTGGAGGAGGAGGAGGGAACGAAGGGGAAGGAGGGGGAGGAGAAGGAAGAGAGAAGGTAGGAGAGAAGGAGGGGGAAGGGGAGGCTCTAACAGGAAGAAAACAGCAGAAGTGCAATATGTAGCCCACAACAGGAGAGGTGTAAACAGATAGCCTACAACAGAATGGGTGTAACAGGATCCCCACAACAGGAGAAGTGTAAGCAGATAGCTACAACAGGATGGGTGTAACAGGATCCCCCACAACAGAGAGGTGTAACAAGATAGCCTACAACAGGATGGGTGTAACAGGATCCCCCCACAACAGGAGAGGTGTAACAGATAGCCTACAACAGTTGGGGCAACAGGATCCCCAGGAGGAGAAGGTGCTAACAGATAGCCTACAACAGGATGGCCCACAACAGGAGAGGTGTAACAGATAGCCTACAACAGGATGGGTGTAACAGGATCCCCACAACAGGAGAGGTGTAACAGATAGCCTACAACAGGATGGGTGTAACAGGATCCCCACAACAGGAGAGGTGTAACAGATAGCCTACAACAGGATGGGTGTAACAGGATCCCCACAACAGGAGAGGTGTAACAGATAGCCTACAACAGGATGGGTGTAACAGGATCCCCACAACAGGAGAGGTGTAACAGATAGCCTACAACAGGATGGGTGTAACAGGATCCCCACAACAGGAGAGGTGTAACAGATAGCCTACAACAGAATGGGTGTAACAGGATCCCCACAACAGGAGAGTGTAACAGATAGCCTACAACAGGATGGGTGTAACAGGATCCCCACAACAGGAGAGGTGTAACAGGATAGCCCTACAACAGGATGGGTGTAACAGGATCCCCACAACAGGAGAGGTGTAACAGATAGCCTACAACAGGATGGGTGTAACAGGATCCCCACAACAGGAGAGGTGTAACAGATAGCCTACAACAGGATGGGTGTAACAGGATCCCCACAACAGGAGAGGTGTAACAGATAGCCCACAACAGGATGGGTGTAACAGGATCCCCACAACAGGAGGGTGTAACAGATAGCCCACAACAGGAAGCTCAGGTCTCAGCCTCACACAGGAAACGGAAGCCTCCAGTCATCCTCCTCAAGAAAGGTTTAGTGATGTTTTGGTGTTGTAACGTGAGTCTTGTGTCTCTCTGTCTGTCTTTCTGTCTGTCTTTACGTATACAGTATATACCAGTGAATTACTATCTATCTATCTATCTATCTATCTATCTACCTATCTATCTATCATATTCTGTTAACAAAATAACGTTTCCTTAAGCTCTGGTCATAGAGAAATATTTAAAGATATCGATTTTTTTTGTGTAATCCAAAGTTTACCGGCTCATAGGTGTTAAGGCAAAGAATGTCATCAGACAGACAGACATACACTAATACACTTACGTTCTCACACTCCCAGACATATGCACAGACGCCCTCACACTCACACCCTCACACTCTATTGTGGTTGAAAGGGTAACTCGTCCTCCTGCACATCATTAGTCAGCTTGGTGGCCGAGGGTGGTGTAAACCCTCGCCCCGACACACTGTCTGGGGGGGACGTCTTGAGTGTGTAGTGAGTGTGTCTTGAAGAATCTTGACTTAAGTGACGCGTGCAACAAGCTGACACAAGATGGCTCAGGGTGACACTGTCTGACTTCATTCAAGTTTTGCAAGTCAAATGGGCGCCAGTCCTAATTGGCTATAGTCTTAATGGGCTCCTGTTTTAATGAGCCTAATAGGAATGGGGGGCAGGTCTTATGGCTTCCCAGCACTTTGGGGCCCTTATCCCACAGGTTGGGGCCCATTAGTACTAAGACTCATTAGGACTGAGTCAATTAAGACAAAGGTAATGAACATAGAGTTCCAACACGTGTATTGAGAAGGACATAACCTTAAAATACTGACTTTACCGCATAGTTCCTACATATTGTAACTTAGACAGTATACAGTATGCATGGTGACCTGTCGTGTAATGGTCAGAATGCTCGCCTCGCAAGCGAGCGGACTCGGGTTTGATCCCCGGGCAGGGTGAAATTATGGGCAAATTTCTTTACGCCATTTGCCTCCGTCTATCCAGCAGTAGTTAGGGACCTATATGTTAATCGATTTGCGGATCGTGTTCCGGGGTAATGGTTAGCCAGTGCAGTTGGCGAGTTGTCCGGTCTTTTCGGACTATTCCTTGACACTGGGTCATGCAACTCGTTAACTCAGGGAGTGGTTGTTGTGTTGGCGACAGCTTCTACACCTTAAACAAATTCACTCCTAGGTGGCCTTTGGGCTGGCCATCTTCATTACACGAGGGGCAACCATTATTACTACTATTATTATTATTTTTACTACATGATACATATACTATAACTTTCAAATAGTACACAAACTAGTTCCCTGCACATTATGTATACAAACCGGTGTACATGTTTGACACATAACTTGACGGGTAATGAAAAGAAAATTCCGGGTATTTAAGTCAAAATTTCAACCCAATTAATTCTGAGTTTCCCTTAAAGGTGGGTGAGCTGGCATGAGTAACGATGAGTCAACTATGTCCTGTGATGTGTGGTGGCTGTCATACATACATACATACATACATACATACATACATACATACATACACACACACACACACACACACACACACGACTCATATACACACACACACACACACACACACACACACACACACACACACACGCGACTCATACACACACACACACACACACACACACACACACACACACACACACACACACACACACGACTCATATACACACACATATCAAGACCCCAGGAATGCGACCATCTTGGTGATCTAATTAAACCCGGGTTAGAAATTCTCTGTTTCCGGGTTATAATATGACTTTGTAAAACACGCCACACTCACACCACTATCCTCCCGTCTTAATGGCGCCCGGGACCCACCACCACTACCCTGCCACACCCTCTACCCCGCCATAACCACAATAGCGCCACAACCACCACCGCGCTATCACCACAACCACGCCACTATCACAACCATCACCACACTACTACCACCACCCCCTCGCCACCACTATTACAGCACCATTACCACCACCAAATCACCACCATTATCACGTCACCACCACCACCACCACCACCACATCACTCCTAGTATCAACAGTATTAATAGTAGTTGTAATGATATTATTTGAAGTAGTGGTATTACTCCAGTAGTAGTAGTAGTAGTAGTAGCAAGATAAGGGCATACGTTGATCAAGGCAGCTTCACTCCTCTGGTGTTCACAACCTCTGGTGGGATGGGACCAAGTGCAAGATGCTTCTACGCCAGACTCGCGGAGGTGATATCCGAACAGAAGCA